TACATTCATTATGTTGGCCATGGTAGTGTAAGTATCTTTTGTTAGTATTAGATTGACAAATCTCCACACATTCCTTCTCAATTCTTTGGCTAGTATTTAATTGATCCTGAATGCCTTGTGGATTGTGGTGCAGATCATGACATGGGTTCTTTAAAATTGGTGTATTATTTGAACAACTCTTAACATTTGACTTGGAATGACTAGGCAAATACTTTCCTACTAAGGTTTCGACTATACTGTCCGTATTATTCTGCTTTTCGATTATATTGTCTGTATTATTCTGCTCAGGTTCGTCCGAGAAATACAAGCAAGTAAGTGTAATCACAGACGCAATAGGGCTATTATAATTCGTACATTGTACAACACATTCAGCCGATGTATTATTGGGAGATTTACTTAGTTGATCCAACGGTATAGATTTTGCATCGGTTGTTGATGCTTCTAATTTCGCCAAGGTTTCCTGCAAACTAACAAGCGTATTTGCCTGTTGTTTCACTGTTGATTCCAAGATAATGACATCCAATTTAACGCCGTCGATATCAGAACTGACTTCAGGGCATTTACACATGTTATGAGACGAGCGAATATTATGGTCGTCAGAACCAATGTCATGCAAAATCAACATCAGAATTGAACGTTTAACTTCACTTGCCTGTTTTCCCTCTATCCTAAGAAACTTCTTTTTAGCCCACCAATGGATTTCAACGTTTTTGCTTTTAAACAACTTTTTCTCCCCACCGATCGATGACCAAGTTCCTTCGAAATTTAGTTCGCTATCAACAAACAATTTCAGCGATTCATAATCACCAGACCACGATAGTTTTAGTTCAGGATATCGATTCATATTTGATGATTGAGTTTGATGTGTAGCTGTTGACATCGTATAGAACTAAATTGCACAGTTTATGATGTTCTCAAAACGTTCGTTAGGAAATTTCACAGGCCCCGAATCTCCTCGTAAGGCATTTCGCTAAAATCCATACCCCTTTACTTATACAATCTCTTCTCTTTAAACAACTTACCTTCCCCCCGGCTTTTCTCAATCTGCCCTCGTACGGACTCGACAACAAATATGACACACAGAATAATCAGTACAACTACTACGATGCTGTCACTGTGATATAGATAATGACAAAAGTCACCACTTTCCCCCAGCAAAACTCCAACAAGCATGCGGCCCGCGGAGGATGCGGTGGATGCGGCGGACGGATTGCGTCGGAAAGGCGGAATTCCGGACGTGTCGGAGGTCTAACAGATTTCAAATTCATCTTGTCAACACCCACGGGAATTTCCGACAAATTGTCAGAGCATGCGTGTGCGCGTGCGTGTGCTTGCGTGTTCGTGACCACGGATGCGCGAGGACGGGGGAGATAGATAGATAGAAACTTTATTTATACACGCTGACCCCGTCAACCGAAGCTGATTTCCACGGGGGCGTGTGCAAAAATAGAAAAATGTTACATGGAGATATTAAAATACTTAAGTTTAAAAAGGTAGAATATTAAATTATTTACATGATAAGAAGGTTATTAGAATATTTACAGTTACATCAATTTACTCTATGTCAATTTTGTGAGCAGCAATTTTATTTCTAAAGGATGAAAGAGTTTTGCTTTCCCTAATTTCCTTTGGAATAGAATTCCAAAGGTGTGCTCCGTCATACATGAAACTATTTTTCATGTTGTTAGTACGCGGTTTTGGTAAAACGGTTTTGGTTTCCGGCATGCATGGGTGTCGCGGGGAATTGGGCAACCGGAAGTGACGTCATCAATCCAACCAGAAGTGACGTCATCAATCCAACCGGAAGTGGCGTCATCAATCCAATCCGAGCATGCGCAAACCGTTTTGTCCTAGGACCGGCCTTTATTAGCTACTGGGGGGTCGCAATTATACTGGTGCGGCGTATTCTCCCTTATATGTAGATGTTTCAATAACTCGAAAACAGCGTCAAACACCGTTTTCGGAATACCTCTCATGTATACCTCGGAATTTATTCACTTGTAGACTTGGTAACATGCATGGAGCCATATATTAGAACAAAGGTCAGTTGTGGTGGATCGATCCTATATATTGGTATGGATGCGCTCAACGTAAATGATAAAAAATTATCGAATGTCAATACATCAAGAATTAAAGACACAGTGCATCCTTTTGAATGATGGTTTTTAAGGCGCATTTCAGCCCTTTTAAATGAAAAAACTAACTAAGAAAATCAATTAACTTAAGCATGATTCAAGATCAGCAAAATTAATGTTTTTAACAATAGTAGAAATACATGCATGCAATAACCCCTCGCCTGTTTTCAAAAGATGTATACTCAGTGCCGTTGCGAGCACTTCATCTGAGGGTGTGTGTGAGGTTAGATAGAGGGGGAGGGGGGGGGGGGGTTCCAAAAATGTTTCCAGATGTACAAAAAATTTT